ATAAACAGATCCATGTGGGTCGAACTCAGCCGGGCAGCCTGAGGAAGGGCTTACTCTGGCTTAGAATTTGTCAGGGAAGGCATGGCATTGTGGCAAGAGGATGAAAAGCTGACCACAGTCTATAAGCAGAGGGAGATGGAGAGATGGGTACTGGCGCTCGGCTTGACCTTCCCTTCCTCTGGAAGAGCAGCCAGTGCTCTTAACCTCTAAGCCAGCTCTCCAGTTTTCAAAATGCTCACTTCTTTAGGTACTGGTTTAGGATTCCAACAAATCTGTGTGCCGGTCCTGGGAGAGGAGAAGCTGGGGAACCAAGAGATTGGGGAGGGATTCCAGACGCTGTGTAGCACATGGGTACACAGTGTAGACGGTGCCAGCAGAGTCCAGACAGGGCCATTGGATCTCGTGGAGCTGGGGTTACAGAGGTTATGAGCTACCTAGTGTGGGTGCAGGGATCTGAGATCTGGTTTTCTGAGAGAACAAGTACACTCTATATATGTTATTTTTCTTATATATATTCTAGTGTATACAAGATACTCGTAAGCATGCACACATATGAGCACACACACACACATAATGTTTATGAGTATTTTGCCTGCATCTGTGTCTGCGTGTCATGTTGTGTATGCTTAGTACCCACAGAGACTGGACCAGGACATTGGATCCCTGTGGAATGAGAGTTACAAATGGTTGTTAGCCACTGTTTGAGTGCTGGGAATTGAGTCTGGGTCTCCTGGAAGAACAGCTAGTGCTCTTTATCAATGAGCCATCTCTCCAGTAACCCCCCACTAAATAAGCCCTCTTAACTGCCGAGCTAGCTGTTGCTCATCCCCTAAACCTCCATACCTAATCCACCCACTAAGAATAGATTTCACACGCTCGGGTAATTAAGTGATCTTCGAGTCTCTATGCGGCTGATGTGTGGCAGAGCCAGGAAATTGGGGGTCTTTGTGATCACAAGGAACATAAACTTCAGCCCTTGTCCGAGTCACATCCCGTTCCTTCCGAGACTGGGCTGGGGTCTTCAGAAACCTCCAGGGCTGCTCCCTGACCCAGAAATTTTTTCTTTCTGACTTGTCTCCTACTTACCATTCAGGTGTCGGCCTAAAGGTCTTCTGATGGCTTTTATCACAGTAGTCATCTTCTATACCTGCCATGGAGACTGTTGGTGTCTACCAGACGCTCTGGTGCTTGAATTAATGACTTTCACGTTTCTGTGACCCCAGCACCCAACAGAAGCAGCTTAAAGGGAGGAAAGATTCACTTTGGCTCATGATTCCAGTGCATCATGGCGAGGATGCTCCGTGGAGCGGAGCAGCTCGGGTTGCATAGGCAGGGGCATGTGGCAGAGGCTTTTCACATCATTGTGTACCAGGAAGCAGAGAGGAAGACAGGAACCACAGACTGGGTATAACATTCAGAGGCCCAGCCCTCATAATTGATTTCTGCTTGGCAGATAACATTTCCTGAACTTTCTCAAGCCTCCCACCAACAGCTGAGAGCCAGGCTTTGAAAGCTTGAGTCCATGATGGTGCGGTGGTTGAATGGCAGTGGCCCTCATAGCTTGTATGCTGGCATGCTTGGTCTCTAGTTAGTCAACTATCTGGAAGGGTTATGAGGTATGATGTTATTGGAGGAGGTGTGTCTCTGGGGGTGGGCTTTGCGGTTTGAAAAGCTCATGCCAGGCCCAGTCTCCTTTTCTGCCTGCTGCCTGCAGATTGGAATGTAAATTTCTCAGCTACTGCTCCAGAGCCTGTCTGCTTCCCACTGTGATGATAATGGACTAACCCTCTAAAACTATAAGCAGTTCCCCATTAAATGCTGTCTTTTATATGATTTGTGTTGGTCATGGTGTCTCTTCACAGCAACAGAACAGTAACTAAGAAAGGGGGTTATATTTCAGATCCAAAGTGAAAAGTTGTGTAAGCACTCGTATCAGCAAGGTTTGACTGAGGCTCTATCAGGCAGGCGCCGTTAAGTCCTGGGGGACACAGGCACGTTCCTGTCACTAGGGAGCTTATGTTGTGGGTGGGGAGACAGACAGTACAGAGCTTGTGGGCGTGAAGAAAAAAATAAAGGAGCTGGGTGGTGCGGCCCATGGCTTTAATCCCAGCACTTTAATCACAGTGGAGACAGGTGCATCTCTGTGAGTTCGAGTTCGAGGCCAGCCTGGTCTATAGAGCAAGTTCCAGGACAGGCTCCAAAGCCACAGAGAAACCCTGTCTTGAATCCCCGCCCTCCCGCAAATAATAAATGAGTAAGCAAAAGAAAAGAGAAAAGAAAAAGAAAAAATAAAGCTGAGCCAGAGCCCTGCGAGTTCCAGGCCAGCCATGCTCCATAGTGAGCTGCTGGCTATAAATAAATAGATAAATAAATAAATAAATAAATAAATAGTGGGTGTGTGTGGCCAGGGTTCTGGTATGATAGCCGGGGAAGCGGTGTCACACAGCTAAGGGGACTCCCTCACTCAGTAGGTGACATTTTAACTAAAAATTGACTGTAGGGGAAATGTAAGCCCCAAATAGAAGGGAGACCAAGTGGGAAGACCTTCCCTAGAGCAGGAGTGTGGTCTGGGAAGTCAGGTCCAGGCCAGCCCCTGGCACTTGGTGTTATGAGGAGGATCCGCTCACAGTGGACAGGAGAAAGGAGGAAACGAGGAGGACCTGGGGCCCCAGAATGTCTCCATAGAGCCAGGTACCTGGGAGGGGTGGCATTCGAAACCCTCAATGAGTGAATGGGAGAGTAGATGGAGTCCAGCTGACCTGGCATCTCAGTTACTTTGCTGCTGCTGTGGTAAAATGCCATGGCCCAGGCAACTTAAGGAAGAGTTTATTTTAGCCGAGGGTTCCAATCCAAAATGGTGGAGTAGAGGCACCTGGAGGCTGAGGGCTCACATCTTGAACAACAAGCATGGAGCAGAGAAACAGCGCTGGAAATGGTGTGAGGCTTTAGAAACTTGAGAGCCCCTCCCCCCATGATGCCCTTCCTCCAGTACGGCCACACCTCCAAGACCTCCCCAAATAGTGCCAACGGCTGGGAACCAAGTCTTGCCATGCCAGAGCCTTTGAGGACGGTTCTCTCTCAAACCACTGCATTGCTTCTGCCTTCCCGCAGGTGAACGAGCGCGTCTTGAACAGGCTCCACCAGGTGCAGAGGATAACTCGGAGACTCCAGCAGGAGCGCAGGTACCATTCTGCAAGCCCTGTGGGGACCCAGCGCCTTCCACCCCGCCTGCCATCTCTCCTCTTCCGGGCCCTCACAAGGCACAGGGACAAAGCTGAGGCGAAGGGCGCAGAGTGAGATAAGTGGAGAAGCCGACTGGGTCTCGGAGAGGCGAGCTGGCCCTGGGACCGGGGTAAGGGGTAGTGTGTGCTCCGTGGAAGTGGAGAGGACAGCAGGAAGGAAGCAGCCGCACAGAGCTCACTTGCTGTGTCTCAGAGCTGCCCCTCCAGCCTCAAGGGCAGCAGCAGCATCAGGAGGCTGCAGCGAGGCACTGTGGCCAGCTCAGGTTGGCACCTGCTGTGGAGCACTGGTGTCACACCGTGACCAGGCAGGTGTGAGCCCTGTAGCCAACCTGCTGTGGCGCACTGGCACAGGGACCAGCTTATGTTTCTCGGAGCTCTGGGAGGCCAAGTCCACCCAGCTCTTCTCAGCTCCACAGCTGGGCACACTTGACCCTGTGGGCCGTCCTGGTGTCTCGGTCCTCCTAGGCTGTTCCTTCTCAGCCATCTCTGCCGAGCTGTCTCCACCCTCCCAGAACCTCACCCAGTAGTCGGTTCCCAGGATTCATTGTCAGGTATGGTAGCTGCCAGCTACAGGTGTCTGTTTCTGCTTCTATTTGATAAATTAAAGTTTAAATTTCCATACCGGAGAAGTGGATTTTGGTGGTTAAGAGTGCTTCCTGCTCTTGCAGAGGACCCCGGTTCAATTACCACCACCCACATGGTGGCTACCAACTGTCTGCCTGGACCTCCAGGCTAGGGGATCCAGCTCCCTCTCCTGGCCAATATGGGCATCAACATGTATACAGGAAAATTTCTATACACCTGAAATAAACAAACGAACAAACCCACCCTCAAACTTAAGTGGAAAGAGAGAGAGCTGGGGATATAGTTCAGAAGTAGTAACGTGCTTGCCTGGAATCTGCCGGTGAGGGGCTCATTAGTGGAGCACCTGCCTAGAATCCGCCAGGAAGGGCGGGGCACGTGGCCCAGCTGTACAGCATTTGCCTAGCATGTTCAAGGCCTTGAGTTCAATCTCTGTCCCCCCTGCCTTTTTCTTTATTTTAATTTTATTTGTTTTACATCTCAACCACAGTTCCTCCTCTCCTCCCAGTCACCCCACCCCTCTTCTGTTCCCCACACCTCCCTTTCTGTTGAAGAAAGGGCAGGTTTCCCATGGATATGAACAAAACACGGAGTATCAAGTTGCAGTAAGACTAAGCACCTCCCCTTGTATTCAGGCTGGACAAGGCAACCCAGTATGGAGAATAGTGTCTCAGAAGCTAGCAAAGGAGACAGCCAAAGCATTAGGGACAGCCCCTGCTCCCACTGTTAGGAGTCCTACTCAAAAACCAAGCTACACAAATGTCACACATATGTAGAGGGTTAGGTTGGTTCCATCCAGGCTCCCGGGTTGTTAAGACTGTTGAGTTCCTGTGAGCCAGGTTAGTGGATGTTGTGGGTTTCCCTGTGATGTCCTTGACTCCTCTGGCTCCTACAATCCTTCCCCCCTCTCTCCAGCAGGATTCCCCAAGCTCGGCCGAGTGTTTAGCTGTGGTTCTCTGTCTCTGTTTCCATCAGTTGCCGAATGAAGCCTCTCTGGTGACAGTTGGGCTAGGCACCAATCTATGAGTATGTCAGAATATCACCGGGCATCATCACATTGACTTTTTATCCAGTCCTGTTTGGTTCTATCCTAGGTCTCTGCATCATCCAGCCTCTGGGTCCTGGAGCTCCAGCCAGGGGTGGGTTCCCTCTCATGGCACGGGTCTCAGGCTGGACTAGTCATGGGCTGGCCACTCCCTCTATGCCACTGTTACCCCAGCACATCCCACAGGCAGGACAGAGGGTTATATGCTTGGATTGGTGTCCCAGATCCTGCACTGGAAGTCTTGCCTGGTCACAGGAGATGGCCAGTTGAGCTGCTCAGATGCTGTTCTATTGCTAGGAGTCTTAGCACGGGTTGTCCTTGGAGATTCCTGGGAATTACCCTTATGCCCGGTTTCTACCTTTCCACTCGTCTCTTTCAGTATGCGCCCCCTCCATCCCCCACCTTATCCCTCTGTCCAAATCACCATCCTCCTTCAGTCCACCCACAGAGGACCTCCTATTTCCCACGCCCACAGAGATCTGAGCACCCCTCTTGAGCCCACCTTGCTACCTAGCATCTATGGGTCTGTGGTTGGTAGCATGGCATCCTTTATAGCTAATATCCACTCAGGAGTGAGTGGGTACATTTGTATGTAAGAGGACTACTGATTTTTGAGTTAATCTTGTATCCAGCTACTTCGATACAGTTGCTTATCAGCTGTGGGTGTTCCCTGGTAGAATTTTTGGGGTCACTTAGTATGCTATCCATGTCATCTGCAAATAGCAATACTTTGACTTCTTTTCCAATTTGTTGAATTTCCAATTCTTGTCCAATTCTCCTTTTGTCGTCTCATTGCTCTAGCCAGAACTTCGAGTTCTGTCGAATAGACATGGAGAGAGTGGACAGCCTTGTGTCATTCCTGATCTTAGTGGAATCGCTAGGCGTTTCTCTCCATTTAGTTAGAAGTTGACTGTCAGCTTACTGTATATTGCTTTATTATGCTTAGGTATGTTCCTTTTGTCCCTGATTTCTCTGAGACCTTTGTCATGAAGGGGTGTTGGATTTTGTCAAAGGCTTTTGCAGCATCTGAGATGATGGTGTGGAATTTTTTCTTTCAGTTTGTTTGTATGGTGGATTACATTGACAGACTTCTGTATGTTGAACCATCCCTGAATCTCTGGGATGAAGCTTAGTTGATCATGGTGAATGATCTTTTTGTTGTGTTCTTGAATTCAGTTTGCCAGTATTTTATTGAGTATTTTTGCATCAATGTTCATGAGGGAAATTGGTCTGTAATTTCCTTTGTTTGTTAAATCTTTGTGTTTTCTTTATTGCTTCTATTTTGGTTTTCCTGTGTTGAATAGTTTTTCTGGTTTTTTAAATTGTCTTTTCCTTGATTTATTTAAGCCAGTTTTTCATTTCCTCTTTCAAGACCTCTGTCATCTTCATACAGTTGTTCTTAAGGCCATTTTCTGTTGTTTCAGTTGCCTTGAAATACTCAGGTCTTACTGTCTCTGGCTAGCTGGGATCTGATGGTCCATGTTGCCCTGGCTGTTGTTGATTGGTTGGGTCCATACACTGGTGTTTAGGCATCTGGTTTCGGGATAATTATAGTTCTAGGTCCCGATTTCTAAGCTTGTCTTTGTTAGATGGGTGTTTTGTTTTTGGTTTCTGTTTCTTTGGGGTCTTCTAGTCTTTGTGGCTTGGATTTTTGGTGGTTAACATGACTGCCGATTTAGTAAGGAGTCTCTGTCCAAGATCTGGTGGTTAGCTTGGCCTTTTGGTGCCATGAAGGACAGGGGTGGGATGGTCTCTGTTCTTATGACTTGGGTGGCCCATTTTTTTCTGGCCGCTGTAGTCTGCACCTGTTCTTTCGACTGTCATGGTCTATATCTGAGCAGTGAGATTCTGCTAGAGTTGGGGGCAGGTCCCAGCAGCGGTGCTGGTGATTGGGGGGAGGACTACAGGATGGGTATGAGGGAACAGAATGAGGGAAGCAGTGCAGCTGGGCGGGCCAGCAGATGGCTCATCTGGTCCTCTGACTGGTGTGGACTGTACCTGAGCTGATGACGTCGGCACCTTTCACATTTTTACTTTATGTGTTTGGGTGTGTGGCCTGCATGTGTACCAGTGCACCACGTGTGTGAAGTAGACAAGGAGGCAAGAGGAGAACATTGCAAACCCTGGGTTTCAGAAGGTTGCAAGCTGCCACGTGGTGCTAGGATTCAAACCTGGGTCCTCTGGAGGAGCATCCAGTACTCTCAATGAGTGAGCCATCTCTCTAGCCCTCGGGCGTGAGAATGGAGCTAGAGTTATAGGCGGTTGTGAGCCACCCAGTGAGGGTGCTGGGAACTGAACTCAGGTCCTCGGGAAGAGCTGTGTGCTCTCACCCCTCCAACCCTTGGTTTGGTTTTTATTTTTTCTTAGAGGCAGGGTTATTCTGAGTAGTAGTGGCTGTCCTGGAACTCTGTGTAGACCACTGTGTCCTCTAACTTAGAGGTCCACCTGCCTCTGCCTTCCTAGTGCCGGGATTTAAAGGCATGTGTCACCATGCTCAGGTGTTTGTTTTTGATTTTTCGAGACAGGGTTTCTCTATGTTAACAGTCCTAGCTATCCTGTTTGTAGACCAGGCTGGCCTCGAATTCACAGAGAATCCACCTGCCTCTGCCTCCCAAGTGCTGGGGTTAAAGTCGTGCAATTGTTTGCTTTTAATTAGTTTATTTTTAAAAATCTCCTGTGGCACCGGTTGGTAGTGGCACACCTTTAATCCCAGCACTCAGGAGATACAGGCAGGAGGATCTGAGTTGGAGGCCAGCCTGGTCTACAAAGCAAAGATAGCCAAGGCAGAGAAACCCTGCCTCAAAACAAAAACAAATAAACAAGCTTGAGCCTCCCACTCAGCGGTGCAATACTTGTAAAGCATGCTCGAGGCCCTGGACTCAGTCTTCATTACCAACAACAAAACCGGAACTCGGCGGAATGTTTGACAGTTGCTGACACTCACACCATGTACTTTAGGAACAGTCTTGGAATGTACACCTACAGCACCTAGCCCAGCCAAGGATGTCAAGCACCATTCACAGACTTTGGGTCATACAGGTTCCCAGGCTATGCTCTCAGACTCCAGAGCTCCAAACCTCTCTAGCTTGGGACAACCTTAGATTGAAGTAAAGAGAGATCGGGACTTTTCATCCTTTACTTCCCTCCCTTACAAGATCAGATGCCCCAGTGCCTGCATTTCTGTTCACACAGGTTCCTCATGAGGGTGCTGGACTCCTACGGGGACGACTACAGGGCCAGCCAGTTCACCATCGTGTTGGAGGTGAGCTCTGGTCTCCAGGCAGTTGGGGAATGGTGTGGAGTCCAGTTAAGTCTTTAACTGCCTCTGATTCTCATCTTACCAGGATGACGGCAGCCAAGGCACAGATGTCCCCACCCCAGGCAATGCTGAGAATGAGCCTCCAGAGAAAGAGGGGCTTTCTCCTCCCCAAAGGCC